ACGGGCTGAGGGTGGCTGAGCCTCGACGTGCCCTGTCCCGCCCTGAGGGTGCCCCGCTCTCCGGTAAACACCGAAACTGCTGAGCGTTTGGGCACAGGCACGGTAAAGAGCGAAGCACTCTGCTCTTCCCTGGCCCGTCCGTCTGCTTCTCGGGCCCCGAACAGCTGCTGAAGCCTCATCGTGCATTTTCTTTTAAGTTTTAAAGGTGAGCCAGGGTTAGTTATTTCTTTTTAACCACTGCCACCCACCTGAAGAGGGCAAGTCAGGGGACGTCTGTGCTAACAGAGCTCTCCTTGTGGTTGTTGAGGAGCACGGGGTCAGCTGGCGTGGCTGGGCAGGCGAAGGCCCCGCTGCTGTTCAAAGCCAAGCCTTGTTTTATGAGGAGCTGAATTTTAGAAAAAGTGATGTGTTACACTGTTTGAACATAAGAAACTCTAAAGTCTCAGCCTCTGCAGCAGAAAAATGTGATGCAATATGGGTTAACCAGGCAATCTGCCTTTCTGTGAGCAGTTTCAATTTCTGGAGCATTTCCCATCACTATTCACTGACACATTGTAGATTTGCTTACAAAAATCTGAAAGAAAGTCATGTCTCCTTTGCTCACTTGTCTTTTTCCTGCATTTTTATAGGCAACAGCAAAGGTTTTGCTACCATGGTTTCAAAAAGGAAGCTGTCGAAAGCTGAGACTTCTGGAGAGAATGGCAAGGCAGATCTGCCGAGTAGGTGCTCAGGTATCATCTTATGGGGAGTGGAGACCCGCTGGAGAGGCAGTGTCTCCCAGGCAGGCTGTAGGCCAAAGTGGCAGTTTTGGTGAGGCTAATTGTTAATGACACTGTTGGTTTTTAAACACTTAAAAAAAATAAAAATCACAATAAAACACTAAAAGCAGTGCTGTATCTTTTCTTAGTCTTTCTGTTCTCATACCTTTGCTCATTGTTTACTATCTTGAGCTTCATTGCCTTCAGAGTCTGCAGATAAATCACATCTGATCAACAATGATATCTGTAAATCAAACCATGATTACCTCTCTCTGTACCTGGAACTTTAGCAGATGGGTTGTTACCCAAGAGAGGCATCCAGTGGGAGAACCTATATCAAATTTGTGCTTTTCAGGCCAGAGGAAAGTATATGCTCATAATCTGTTGGTGGGTATGTCTCACATGGGACTAGGCTACTGCAGGTGTATCTTAGCTGTCTGTGGTTATGGATCACTAAAAGGGGTAAGAAATGTTCCTTTCTGGTGCCATGCTGCAGGGACAACTGCTTTACAGGGTCTGTGCTTTGGGTTAATTTGGAATTAGTTGTTTATTTGAAGGGTCCTTGTCATTCTTATTTGATATTTGATGTAATGTATCTTGTTTTCTCAGAAACAAAGAAGTTGCGGATTTCTGCCCCTGGTGGAATGGAGACTGAGGGAATTTTTGAAGAGCTCATTAGAACATCAGGAATTGTACTGAAAGCTGGGGAGGGACAGAATGAAATAGGTATGAGTTTAACTCATTATGGCAGCTTTTTGAGTGTATACATGCAAAGTCAAAAGACTGCTGAAATATTATTGGAGGTATATGAAGTAAGGTTAGACTGCATCTGTGATGAGTATTGAGTCACAAAGAAGGAGCTCTGAAACAGGAAAACAAACATCTCATTGCCTTTCAGCTTGGACAAACAAACATCTCATTGCCTTTCAGCTTGGACAAGGCCCTCAGAAATTTGTATATTAAGCCTTTTTAGTGCTATGAGCTACTCTCAAGACAGACTGCAACAAGCACAAGTGGTGACGCCATTCAGGCTTTTGCTAACTGAACTGTTCAGTAGAGCAAATGCAGAAGTATTGGTGGGTGGGCTTGAGAGCTTGTGATCAGTGTAGCTGTTGTTATGATATTGTATGGTCTGGTTCTTTATTTTCTTTTTAAACTTTCTCCTTAGCTGTAGATCAAATGACTTTCCAGAAGAAGCTCTGCCTGGCTCTGGAGAAGCACCCAACTTACCCAGGTGTGAGTAACAAACTATGCTTTCGCAGGAGCCAGCTTTAAAGCTGCTTGCTGTGTAGCAAAAGGTGCAAATGGAGCTGGCTGTTCATGCTAGTCCCATACAAAAATATGGAGCACAGCAGCTTATCTTGGGTTTCTGTGTTCCAGGTTCTCTAATTCTCTCAGTGTTGCTGTTCCAGTCTTTTGGTCTCATTCTGTCTCATCTTAGCTGTTAGGTCTGAATAGTCAGAAAGAGATGACCAGCCTGTGCCTTTGCTAAACTAGCCTTGGTGTGTGTGCTTGTGGTTTAACCCTGCAGGTAGCTAAAGAGCATGCAGCCACTCGTTCACTCCCTCCCCCAGTGGAATCAGGGAGAGAATTGAAGGGGAAAAAAAAAAAGCTAAAATTCTTGGGTTGAGATAAAGACAGCTTAATAGAACAAAAATGGGGAGCAAAATAATAATGATAAAAAAATGAGAACATACAAAACAAGCGATGCACAACACAGCTGCTCACGACCCACCAACTGGTGTCCAGTCAGTTCCTGAGCAGCAGCCTCTAGCCAGCTTCCCCCCCATTTTATATTCTGAGCATGATGCCATATGGTCTGGAATGTCCTTTTGGGCAGTGGGGATCAGCTGTCCTGGCCATGTCCCTTCCTAGCTTGTTGCAGCCCCAGCCTGCTTGCTCGTGGGGTGGGGTGAGGAGCAGAAAAGTCCTTGATTCTGTGTATGCACCACTCAGCAACAACTAAAACATCTTGTGTCAATATAATATCAACTTATTCTCAGACTAAAGCCAAAGCACAGCACTGTACCAGCTACTAATCAGAAAATTATCTCAGCTGAATGCTCCAAGATTGGTTTTGCGCAATTCAAACCAAAAGTTCTTTACTTCCACCACCATGCCCTGTCAAATTAAATAATTGACAATATTATTCAATAGTCAGACACTCTTAAGAGAGAAAAATCACTACTTAACTTTCTAGTGGAAGCTGTGTTTGGTTTTGGGTTGGCTTGGAGCTGACAGCATTAAAACTGCCAGTGTGGTACTCTTCCCCTGTCAACAAGTCCAGTGTGAAAATCCTGAGGCCAGTGATTTGACTGCAGATGTTTTTTGGGTGCAGCTCTTGTCACATCAAATATTACTGTCTCAGCTGAACAGGAAGACAGGCAAAGCTCTTTTACATGAAAGTAAAATATAAGACTGTTGCTTTAGAGTTATTTTGTGGAACAATTGGTGTTTCCTTTTGGAAATGGTTTAGACTAGAGTTCATTTATTATCCAGCCTTCCTTCCAGCACAGTTTCCGTATGTCGCAGTTCCCTGGCTAGCTCTTCCCTGTCCTCATTATCTGCTCCTAAACCACAGGAGTTGATGGGGGTGTCTTTGCAGAAAGTGGGTGATTTCTCTGTGCATTGCAGGTTGTGAAGCAATTTATCAGTGGTTTGGAATCTCGCATCAAGGACAGAAACCAGTTCAAGAACTGTCTCTTGCCGTGTGCTCCCATCCAGACCGAGGGGTCAAGGTCAGAGAACATGTGTTTTGTCTTCCCCTTCAGTCAGAGCCAGTGTCTAGTTAAATGCTATGTAACATTGAGCAGAGTTCAGGGAAAGGCTGTAGCTCCAGCTGATACACAATGAGACTTGTTTCTTATGCAGAAGTGGCTAGTGTAATACACTGCTACTCAGCAGCACTAAGTTTAAAGTGGTAAGTCATGGAATTTACTGGCTGCCTGTGGCATGCATTGGGCTCTGTGGCATTGTATGGGAAGAACCAAATTCTGTGGGGGAAAAACAAGGCTGGTGAAGGTCAACTGGTTTTTGACAATTTTTCCAGGAGAGGCAGCTTGACCACAGAGACTTTTGCATTTCCATCTCACATTACGCTTGTAGAGAGTAAGCTTGTTGAGAGCTGAAGTGCAGTTTTAAATCTGTGTGTGTGTCTGTGGTTAACATGTTACCAAAACTTTCCCGCTATTGCTTCTTTTAAAAGAAGCAGCAGTGGGAATAGCTACAGCCTGTTCTCCAAATGTATTTTGCACTGGGTGTTGTGGTCTAGTGTGAGATGTCCCTGGCCATGGCAGGGAGTTGGAACTAGATGATCTTAAGGTCCTTTCCAACCCAAACCATTCTATGATTCTATGTTTTTATTGCAACTGTGGTGGAATCTTTCATCTTGCAGGACTCAACATTCGTACTGTGACAGCCTCATTAAACTGCTGCTTGGAATTAAGATCTTACAGGTATGGACACCTTAGTTTGCTCTTTACAATGGTGTTGATTTATTTAGGGATTCTTTTGCTTTCTCAAGTAGAGGATTAATAGAACTTGTTGTGAAGCAGATGAGGCTGCACCTGGAATAGTGTCTTATACAAAGGGATACAAAGATGCTCAGGGCACAGAGCACATGGCATGCAAGAAGAAACAGAGGGAACTGGTTTTGTTCAGTTTTAAAAATAGAAGATTAAGGGATATTTTGTGGTCTTCAGATACATAGTTGCCTGGTGTATAGAAAATAGTCAGATTCTTCTCAAAGGTGAATGGGGTCAGGATGAGATATGACAGCTTAGGTCAACCATGGGAAATTGTGATGGTATATAACCATTTCCACTGTGGAGAATGTTTCCTAGAAATGTGCTAGAACAGGTAGGCTAGAGAGGTGATTGAAACTCCATTATTGGAGGAATTTGAACCTTGAAAGTGTTTAAAAATGGGCAAGATGCTGAGCAACTTGCTGGGAAGAACAGGGTCTGTTAAGTTGTATGCAGGTTGCAGGAAGAGGTGTATGGAGTTGAAGTTGACAGCTATCTTGCGAAGGCGTGGGAAATCTGAGCAGCTGTGGATTTAAATCCTCTTATAATTAGAATGTTTTAAGAGTTCTTCTCTTAAATACATTTTCGGAATTGCATTTGGGCCATGATTAAGGGAGGGGGTGGAGAGGAGGAAATTAGCCCTGCAGAGGGAATGGCAAAAGCATGTGGGCCTTGTTTTCAAACTTGTCTAAAGTTGATGCTTATGATTCCTGTGCAGTGAGAAGCAACTCAGCTGGGTCTGAGGAGTGCTTCCAGAGGAATTGCACATCCTGCCCCTATGCCCTGATTCTGTTAGATAATGTGGATGGTTTATATCACCTTCAGCATTTGTGGGTTTCTCTTTCCAGGCTGTATGCCTCCTTCCTCTCATTTGGCAAGAGATTTCTTATACAGGAAATATTTGTATTAGTCCTTTTGAGTATTTTATTCTCAAAGGACTCAAACAAGTCTTTTGAGAAGGATCAGGTTTAGTGGCAATGCTGCAGCACGAGCAGTAAATCATCATCCTAACACTGTCCTTTTACCTTTCTTCTAGCCTGCTGTCATAACACTGTTGTTAGAAAAGATTCCCGAATTCTTTTTTGACATGTGAGTATAGACTCTTTTCCCTCTGCCTTGAAATTATATTTCTTCTTTTGGACAATCAGCAGCTGTTTGACTTTAACAGTTACTTCAAATTTATCTGAATGGATGTTTGCACTGAGGTTTTTTTTTTTTCTTCACACGTGCAAAATTATCTGTGTGGTACCATGATTTTAAACTTGTGGGTGCATAAAGCAGAAGGCAAATTTATAAAAGCTGAAATACAGACCTACCTCATGATTCATTACACTTTTCATAGCTGGAAAAAGCCAGGAAGTATCTCAGCAAAGGGACTACGGAATGTCTCTTGATTTAGAAAAAGATGGAAGCAGATGGCAGAGTTTTAGGAGGCTGCTGGATGCAAACAGACCTCCTTTTAAAAATACAGACTGTGTTTTAACAAGGAAAATAAAAAAAAGCATCTATTGGTTTATGAATGTAGACCATCATAGCAGAGTGAGAAATCTTCAGGTGCAACATGGGCAAGACTTGAACACTTAAGCTCTTTTTCCATTGCTCTGGATGCTTGCTACGGAATTAATGGAGCAGGTCAAGAGATAGAAAGAAGCTGAGGCTGTTTCTGATAAAGTATTTGTTTCAGTACTGAGTGTCAAGCAGGATACAAATGCTGTAGAGAGGCTGAGTCTGAGAAATCATCTCAGACTGAAATCTTGTTAGAGAGGAGGGTTTAGCTGACAGTCAAAAAGACTGGTTTGTTTTCACCCAAGAATTCTAAAGGATCTTGTATGTAAAAGCAATAAGCTATTAAACGTGCTCTTAAAAATGGATGCTGTTACACTTGTCTCCTGTTAGACTGTAAGAAGAGTGGAGTTTTTTTTCTATGCATTAATGACCACTTAAAGGGTGGGAGAGGAAGAAATGAGAGTGGTCCGTTTTGCAGAAGGAGGAGGATGGTCCATGGGGACCTGGTTGCTCAGCATGTTTGTAAATGAAAAAGGAAATGAAAAGTGAGAGAACAATTGATGGTAACAATTCCCCCAAATAATCTAATCTAAAACTAACTGTGAAGAACAACAGAGTTTTTTCAGTGGACTTCCTACTGATTTTTGTGTTGTTTAATTATGGAATGAGAAACAACATTCATTACAACTAGTGTGTAACCACACTTGTACTGACCCACCAATTTCTCCCAAATCTGTCCTATAGACCTTAATGCCGGTCAGTGCCTGGGCAGAGGACATGCAATGTACTGACTCCCTGTAGGAAGGGTAGGGAGAACTTGGTTTTGGCAGCAACCAGCTTGTTATTACATCTGTGCTCACAGATCAGTGTGACCAAAAGTTACAGAAGAGGGAGGGCATGTGAACACAGCTCCATAAACCTTGTTTTCTTAAAAAAATCAGACTAAAATTAATCCTGATTGTATAAAGACAGTGACAAACTCAGTGTTTTCATTGAGGAAAGGTGTCTTGTATGGATGTTTTTGTTTCTTACTCTTTAGTATCAGTTCCATGCTCAGTAGTAGACAAAGCAAGAAAATAAATGCTAGGGAAGGAGTTGGGAACAAAATGCAAAAACACCATGTCATTGTAAATGCATGGTACAATCACATTTTGAATGTTGTGTGCACTTCTGGTCAAGCTGTCACAAAAATGTAATAGAACAGTTTCTGTATAAGTAGGGATTTATTCTAAATAAAAGAGAATTCTGCCCGCTTTCAAGCGGAAGGCTTGAAGATTAGCAGAGAAATGTCAGATGTCTGTAAAAGCAAGAAAGATTTAGAAAAGGTAACTGAGGAAGGTTTAGCCACTGTTTTTAACTATGGAAGGCAGCAAGCAAAAAACCCCGGAAGTACTCTTGCAGATTGTGTACTATTTCAGATTATTCCACCCTGTGGAATTCAGTGCTGGGGAATGTAGAGATTAGAAATTACACACAGGGGTCTCTGTTGTTTTTTCTTGTGTTTTGGTTTTATTTTGTTTTTAAGGTTTAGGGAAATTAAGGGAGGATAATAGTACTACTGGATAGCAGACATGGAGTGGGTACCAGCTTCTGCCTTGGAGATTTGAAGAAGTGCTCATTGTTGGAGACTGAATGGATACTCTGTGAAAGGATTGCTCTGTGAATGCCCTGTCACACAAAACTTACCCAAAAGCATCTAATACTGAGTACAGCTGGGGACAGGGATGCTGGGCTCAGAGGACATTTAGGCTAAGCTGGCATAGCCACTCTCATGGTATGTGGCACAGGAGATCTGAAGTAAAGTCACATTGTATGTTTTGCTTTTGGCACCCTAACTTAGGTTGTTGTTGTTGGTGTATTGAAACTGGCTGGTAGTATTCCAGTAATAAGAAGTAGGGTTTTGCCTGGGTGGTGCTATAATCTGTAGAGGTGTTAATGATATTTTTATAGAATGGTTTTGATAGTTGGTTAATTTGAATTGCATCTCATGGTCTTGCTGACCAGCAGCAAAGCTTTTGTGTGTCTATAGGTCTGACTAATCTGTGTTTCACTTTCTGCTGTTTCAGCGTGGGCACCTTTGGAACAGATTTTCCCCGGCTCATCATCAATCAGTTTAAATGGCTTGATAAGCTTCTTGACAGCCAGGTGGGTACCGACAGTGCAAGCACATGTAGGCTCTTTCCACTCAGCTTCTGGAATGCTTCTCAGGTGAGATGAGATCAGTTATTATGCTAATGAGAGCTGGTGTTTTCATATTCACATGCTGAAGGAGAGATTTAATTCTTTCTGCATTATTATGATTACCTTCAATGACTTGAACATCCTCTTTTATTCTTTTTCTTCTTCCCTTGCTCTAAGTCTCCTTTTTCATAAATGTGTATCTGTACATATGTGTCCACATGGGTGACCCGATTTTGAAGCTTTTGCTGGTAAGAAGTTACAATCCCCCCTTGTTTAATTTTAACTAGAGATACTGGCTACTTGCCAGTGTCTGGAGATGAATTCTCTGTTCTTGCTTTGGTCTTTCCCTAAGTAAGTTGGTCTCTGTGAGTTTGTACTGGAGGGCTCTTCCTAGAGAGTCCCAGAATTAACTGCATCAAGAAGTCATACTATGCGCTGAGGAGCTTGCTGTTTCCCACTTGTCTTTGCTCACCAAGATAGTTATATCCTACCTGTAAAATGTCATTATTCCATAAAAGTATCTGCTATGATTCACAACTTCAACAGAACAATGATTTAAGGATTCTGCTAACTAGCAGAAATCCAGACAAATGCCTTACTATGTGACCTTGTATACATAATGTTGCTTTACTAAGGAACCACTTGCTCACAGTGAGCCTCAGCATTTTACAAGTACTCTTCTGCTCTGCAGGATCTCGTCAAGAAGTTAATGGAGCTGGTTAGTGTCTCTCCAGTGCCAATCCAGCATGATATTATCACCAGTTTACCTGAGATCCTGGAGGATTCCCAGCAAAGTGAAGTTGCCAGAGAGCTCAGGTACAAATGATTGTTTTGGGTGTTTGTATTTTGTTGTTTGATTTGTTTTTCCCCTTGCACTCAGCCGGATAAGACATCGTTCATTAATGTTGGTTGCACCAGGACTGACGGAAGTAGTAAGAAAACAGTCTGCTTCTGTAGCATTCAGGGACAACTAGTACTGGAGGACATGTAATTTGTCCTGTTATGCTCTTAAACAGAGGTCTAAATGGTTCGAAAGTGCTTCTATCTGAAAAAAATTATTACACTCTTGACTCTGAGCTGCAGTCCCTTGGTCAAGCAGGTGCCAAACCACAGCTTGCTAGAAAGCAAGCACAGTTTATATAGGAAGCATTTGTAAATACTTGTCCAATTCTTAGTCTGTTTCCTATTGACCAGTGCTGGGAAAAGGATGCTGAATGAAACTGATTATCTGATTGGACCCATTGTGCCTTTCATTATATGTTTGTAATTTTTAGAGCAAATCCTGTGACTAGGGAGGAGGTTGTACATGAGAAGAACTCAATCCTTGGCTTGAATGTAGCAATCTCATTTACACTTTGCTGGTGGCCTGTCCGTGGGACAGAAGTGTGGCTAGATGGTATCAGGACCAAGTCATGTATGTGACTAAATAATATACCAGTGGTCTCACTATTTTTTCTGTTTATTGTGAACCCCGGACTTTTCAATTTTCAAATTCTTGCTTGGGGCTTGTACCAGGCCTTTGTCCATGCTCCCTGTTTTTACAAGATTTGAAAAAAAGTAGATTCTTGCTGTCTGCTTCTGATCAGCAACCACAAAATCACAATTTGGCACGTTCAGGGAGGAGTGACAATTCAGGGAACAAGTTTTCCGTGATGCCAGTGGCATACATCAGTTTCAGAAGTTTTTTTGGAATCACACAATTTACTAGATATCCATCCATGGCTCATTGTTTTCTTTTCCTTGTGAACCAGCTGCTTACTCAAACAGGGCAGGCGGCTGACAGTTCCAATCCTGGATGCCCTTTCTCGACTGGATCTCGATTCAGGCCTTCTGGCTGAGGTGAGAGTTTTTACTGAGTAGTTGAGCAGAACCCAGCCCCTGCTTAGCAACGCAAGACCTAGAACTGTCTGGTTATTCAAAGTGTTTTTCTAAGCCTGATTCCTATAGGCCTTCAAAAGTCCTGAGCTCGCTGAAACAGGAAATGAGTCAGAGAAGCTCAAACTGTTCAGTGAGGAGCAGAGACATTTCTAGCCGTTACAGTACACATTCAGAAATTTCAAACACACCTGCTTTAGCAAATGCAAAAGCACCTTATCCTGCTGCAGTAATTTTGTACTGTCTATCTTAAACTTGTTTATTGTCACTGTTTCTTTTTTTGAAGCACAGTGACCGCTGCTTTATTCTAAGTAAAGGCAGAATGGTGATTAAATCATTGCACGATCATAGTTTTTTCTCTGCAGAATGCTGAGTAAAGGAGAAGAGATGATAGGCCCTGGGTCTTCTGGGCATGCTGGGTTGTTGCACTTCTTGCAGTTGGGCTACTTACGTATAAAATAAAATTGGTTCATTTGAGTGCATTAACTACTATTTTACAAAGTCCCAAAAGGCAGTGCTGTATAAACAGGGTATGGCTTTTCCATGATTTTCCCTTTTGAAAGCTAGTTAAAAAATAGTGGAGCCAAGCTCTTCTCAGCAGTGCCAAATGAAATGATAAAGGGCAGTGGCTGCAAATTACAGCCTAGAGGATGCAGGTTGGATGTTTGAAAAAATGAGTTAGGGTTTGCAGCACTGACACAAATTACCAGAGAAGTGCCAGAGCCTGGGGAGTTTCCTCCATCCTTGAATGTCTTCAAGACTCAGTTAGCAAAGCCAAGGTGAGTCTGATCTGGTACTGACAATATTCCTGCTCTGAGCACAAGGCTGGACTGTAAGTCTCCAGAGATTCCTTCCCACTAACATAACTGTTTCTGTGAACCATGGTCTTACAGCTGACCCACTGTTGCTTTCTCCTCAGGTGCGGCAGTCTGCCATGACCATTGTGCCTTCTGTAAAACTGGAAGATTTGCCTGTAGTAGTAAAATTCATCCTCCATAACGTCAAGGCAGCAGATGCAGTAGAGGTACAGTTTTTGCTCTGTACTAAAGACCAGTAAGTTGTCTAATCCAGTGCATGTTTTAACACAGAGCAGTTGCTTCACACACAGAGGTGTATGCTGTAATGTTGTCAAGCAGAATTTTGAATATTGCCAAGGATCAAAGCACATGTTAGAAACTATGTCTGTTTTCTGATGTGGATTTGGTTATACCTTCAGGCCCGGGAATTGAAATGTCTTCCTTTCTGCTGCCTATTGTAGAGTTTTCTTATTTGTTTTTAGATTTAGACAGGGACACCACTGTGAAAACAGCATGCCTATAACAACAAGCCAGTCTCTGCTGATACAGTGCAGTTTGACAGCAGTCAGAATGGTAAACTCGCATCCCCCAGAATTCCTGTAGCTGTCATGTATCTTGCTCAGCTGCCAAACAGGATAAAACTAGTTCAGCATACAGCAGATATAGGTGGGAATTTCATAGAGTGACTTGTAGGAAATCCTTTCCTGCTTTCTGCACGCATCTGCAACTTCATGACATGACAGGTAAAGAGCAAAGTGTTGCTGGTTTATATTTAAGTTAACAAAAACCCCACCCCAACAACAAAAAGCTTGAGCATGGTTAAATGTTTGTGAATTTACAAATACATGAATGTTTCATTTGTAATTTTAGGGTTATTCTTGGAGATTGTGTTTTCTTTTCCTTATCTTTTTCTGTTCCTCCCTTTTTATGTGCAGGGATTTTTATTTTACAGGTGATTTCTGATCTCCGTAAGAAGTTGGATCTATCATCATGTGATCTGCCCATGAAGATCCTAAGTTCCCAGAAGAAGGTTAAAAGTCAAGTCCAGGCCAGGTATTTTAGCAGACTTACATGGTTTTCCAAGGGTAAAATGGGACAAGAGGACTTCAGCTCTTCTTTACGTGGTCTCTCTGGCACACATGGTTACATACATGAGCCTAATTTACTCTGTGTTGACACCTTTATTCCTTCCTGCTTGGTGCTAATATAATACATTGGTCAGTCCTTGCCCAGCCAACTTCCCCTGCCCTGCATGTAGTTCCTTTTGAGCCACCTGCATCCATGTCTGCATGGGGCTAAGCAACTCCATGTATAATAATTTTGCTGCCAGTTCATCTGGATCAGTAGATTTTTGGTTGATTCTGTGACCTCTGCTTCTACCCCTTCTGAAACTCGCTATCCTTGCCAGAGCATTCCTGGTAGAGAATGGCTGTTCCAAGTAACTGCTGTGACTGCTAGGCTGCCTTGTTCCTTTTTACTACAGTATTTACAATGACTGAGTCTCCTTTCTGATCATTTACAGTTCTTCCATGAGCCAAGTAACCACCAGCCAGAATTGTGTGAAGCTACTTTTTGATGTGATCAAGTTAGCTGTAAGATTTCAGAAAGAGGTCTCTGAAGCATGGATTAAGGTAAGATACATGCTTCAGTCCTGGTTTCCTTATTCAGACTCCTAGGTTGAGCCTGAACCTTTCTTGTAATCAAATGTGATATTAAAAGACAAATGTTAGCCCTTCATTTTACTGGTACAGATTTCATTCTGTGTTCCAAATTAGCAGTACTTTTTCAGGAGTCTGCTTTCTTCCTCAGTAACCAATTCCACAGTTCTTGCAGGGTGGCCACTGAGCTCCTCTGTACAGACCCCAAATCTTGAAGTGCAGGATAGACCTGGTTCTGCAGGTTTATGAGAGAAAAAATGAGTACACATATGACAAGACTGAGCTGTTTGAAGCCTTAAGGTGCTTGAAAACGTCCAGCTAGAAATGAATTGGTATTGGGCTAAATTTAATTGTAAATTGCATTTCAGTGTAAACTAGGAGACTGTTTCTTGTTCTCAGCTTTCATTACTAAGTACCTGCATTCCTTTTTCAAGCCTGATATTATTTGAGAACATCCTTGTTCAAGCTGAATTTTTGTGCTGGTTTTTTGAGCGCCTTCTGGTTCTCTGCTGTTGGCAAGATCCAGTTTGCTGGCTTTGACAGCTGTCCTGTTGTAGAGGAGAGAAATCTGTGAGCAGGATTTCTTTTGGTGTCTGCCTCTTTTTGATATGGTTTTGGAATACAGTAGCGTGCTGTAGCATAACAGCTTTCTTGGTTCTTTTGTTCTTAGGCTATTGAGAACAGCACTTCTGTATCTGACCATAAGGTAATACTTCTGACTCTGCACTTGTCTCTGAAGTGTCCCCTTTTGCTGGTGTTCTCAAGGGCTTTTTTCATGGCTGTAGATGAAGAGATTTCTCTAGTTGGAGCAGAAACTGCCAGTGATGTTGCATGGGTGGTTCTTTTGGCATTTGATTTGTTCCTAGTATAACTGCATCCGTTTTCTTTGTAACTCTTAGTTAATCCCTTCTAAATGTCAAGGGACAGAGTTGTCCTGCTTTAATTCTGTCCTGTTGGACTGATAAGGTTTTCTTACGGTTCTGGTTGTTGGCACTTTTTGAGCTCTCGACTTCCTGCTCAGTTTTGGTTTCAAAGTGTATCGCTGTCTGAACTGTTTAATATCTTTTCAGTGTAATGATTGGTGGCTATTTCCTCTGAAAGGTTCTGGATCTGATAGTTTTGCTGCTAATCCATTCTACAACCACCAAGTACAGGAAGCAGGCTGAGAAATTACTGAAGAGCAAAATCCGACTGGGCTGCATGCCTGAACAACTGATGCAGAATGCCTTCCAGAATCATTCATTGGTCAGTGTTGATTCTCTTTTATCTCCCAAAGATCTTGTCAGATGATGATTTATTCCAGTTATGTACACTTCTGTGTACACTTCTGTGTACATAACTAGTCCCAGGTCAGTGTCCCAAGGCACATGTCCACTGCTGTAACTGACACATGAGTTTTAGAGATGAGCTTTCCTCAGAATTGGATGGGCTTTTTATTTTGGTGCAAAACCTTTCAGCCTAAGAGATGTGGTCTAGCCCAAGATCTCCACTGTGTGTTCCAGGCATGCTGTTATCTCCCTGTTATTTTCACAAGTTCATATCTTTACATGTACCATTTTTCAAGTGTTTTCTAGGTCTAAATTTATATATACTGGGCATATGTTTGTAATCTAAGTTACCATTTACTATGAGAAAACTGAAAAGATCATTGAAAAACAATGCAGTGCTACTTGCTGGAGGTACAGGGCAGATGAGAAACTGACTTATGAATTTAATTAATTGAACTATAATAATGCCTTAAGTGGACACATTTTATTCTAAGTGGGTTTAATTCAGTTCTAGTTTAACTCCCTTCCAGAATAAGTTAAGCTAAAGTAAATAAGGCCATTCCTACATTTGAGTAAGAGAGAGCTTGTTGGTCAAAGGCACTGTGTGTGATTAAGTTGAGTTTAAAAGTTAACATATATTTTTGAGTATCTTGATGTAGTGGAGTCCTTCTGGTAAAGTAAGTCCAAGTGTGTTTCTGGGGCTTATATTTAGTGGTACTCTGCTGTAATGTGACTTCCCTCATGTTATCCATAAGGGATATGCTGCTGAGAGCTCTGCAGCTTTGCCAAGTTGGCTTCTTAATTAGTCTGCAAATCTTTTGTGTGGAGAAGGTTGGAAAAACCCATCCTGGTGTACCTTACCTGGTCTTGTTGCCCGTTTATATGAGAGAGGACAGTCAGAGAAGGCAGGAAAGCACCTACTAAACCTAGACACAGCTTTTGGGATGAGCTGTAGCTCGCTCTTTATTTAGAGAACTGAGTGTGTTGAAAACAAGCAGCCATAATGTCCTTTTTCATGATGTCTATATTTCAGGTTATCAAAGACTTCTTCCCTTCAATCCTAGCAGTTGCTCAGACGTTTCTGCACTCTGGACACCCAGCTGTGGTTTCCTTTGGCAGCTGCATGTACAAGCAAGCTTTTGCAGCCTTTGACTCTTACTGCCAGCAGGTATAGTGTGATGGATGGCATCTTTTGTGTTAGTGTTTGCTCTAGAATGTATGTCATGAACCTTATGGGAAGAGGATTTGGGCAGTTGGAAGCCTTTGGGGAGAGGTTTGTGCCGTAGATTAGGCCAAGCAGAAGATGGGGAACAATTGCAGCGAGACTCTGGTAGCAAGTGACTTAAGCAGAGAGAGTGCTGGGAGGAGCAAGGAACAAATAGGCAGTCCTCAGAAGTGACAGAACACAAAATACTTAGGGAGCAGAGGGGACTGCTGGGTGTGCTGTAATTCAGAAAGCAAACAAGCTGACAGATCTAGCCAGGAAGTCAGGACTGGCCCCAGGGTCATGGAGGAGATTTGTTCATAAATCCATATTCCTGTTCTGTCTTACCTAGTCACTTTGAGCATTCTCTGTTTTAAAAAGCCATTGTTATAGTTTGTATTGAAACTTTTTTCCCCTTGATTTGCATAACTTACCAAGATGAAAAAGCTTACACAAGTGTCCCTCAGAGCTCTGAGGACTCCTGCTGCTGTTCTGAATAATCACAGACTAGACTTTCAGCTCTGAGCATAAGTTCCTGCAGACATGCTGATAGCAGAAAATCTGGGGTCTTAAGACAGCTCTGCACAAGCTTTTGAATATATTTGTGCTTTTTGGGGGCACAGTATTTTTATAATTAAGACTGTTTCCTGCATTCCTGCATTACTTGTTACAGCAAACTTAAATAGACACACAAAAGAAAAGCAACTGGGAAAAACCTGAGATGTGAAGGCAATACTTTGTATACGTCAAAGTACTCAAAGTAATACTTTGAGATGTTAAGAATTTAATACAAAGAGGGCTGATTAGCAGTTAGTGACATAGGAAGGACTCAGAGCTTCAGGCAGTGGATGGGAGTGGAATGAGATCCCTGTCCAGAAGTCGACTGAAGTGCTGTTGATAAAGGTCGTGAAGACACAGGAACTGCTGAAGTTAGAGGTGTTGTCTTCCTAGGTATGGTGCAGTGTTCTGTGTGCCTAATGAAATAGGGAAGATGTGTATAGTCTTGTATGTTAGTAGCAAAGAGCAGAATCTGCAGTAGTGTTAGCAAGCAGGCAGGAAAAATTGGTGAAAAGCTACATGATGGAATCAGGAGAGCTTTTAGAATTGAATAAAATTCAGGTTCAAGGAGAGAGTCAATATCATGGATATCAGGAATTAAAAAGCAAACTGAGAAGGAACTTAGGATAATATGTTTGGGATTCGGGTTGATTATCTGCGCTTGATCAATGTATTCTGTAGGAGCAGAACAGGGCAGACATTTTTTGTTGATATTACCCATGTTTTCTTTAGGAGGTTGTCACTGCTTTGGTGACTCATGTGTGCAGTGGAAATGAGACAGAACTGGACATTTCTCTGGATGTGCTCACTGATTTGGTGGTCCTGCACACAGCCCTGCTGATGCGCTACGCCACCTTCGTGAAGGTATGTATGTTTCAGGGAGCATATGAAAAACCCCATATTGTTATGGTAGTCAGCTTGTTCTTTCCATTCAGCATCTGGTAAAATGAACTGCCATAATTAAGGCCAGAGCAATAGTTCTGCATTTATGTTTGTTTAATCATAGAATAGTTAGAGTTGGAAAGG